GCGTGAAAGGTGTCTTCTTCATCCAACATGAACATGTTGGATGATGTGGTCCTTGGAAGGACTACAAAGTGCTACCAGGTGTAACGGGGCACACCCTTGCGTAACTTAACGGAAGGGATTTAGGTGCCCTGACGGACGTACACAAGGCAAGCGAGGAAGCGTAGCTAAGGTAAAAGTAGAACTGTTATATTAATAAATTAAGTCTTTAAACTACTGTCTCTTCGTTTGACTTAATTCAATTATACTAATATAACTGCATGTATGGTGACGTCTCGTCACCACTCATTGCGCGCGTCTTGCGGCGATTGGTGGGTTGATATCATCACGATATCAACCAATGAACAGACCCTTTGGTCGACCCTTCAATATCACCACTTTGGTGATATTGTTTAAAGAATATCCATCTTTATATTCTTTATTGTCACTTTCCTTAAAGTGACAATTTCATGTAACGGGCTGCCCCGTTACAATATAAGCTTCTTCTTTAAGTCATGGCATATTCTTAACGCAAACGAGATCCATACTTTTTAGCTCAACTAGCGGTATTTTCTGCGTCCGACCCGAAGGTTTGCTCGATTAATTAAATGTTTTCGATCAACAAAGAGCCCACTTGTTTTGACTTAAGACATCCCAATTCAGAGGACTTACCGAGTTTGGCAAGCGCTAAATTATGGCTGAGCGGACGAGAAACATTGCGGCGCAGTGTTCGAGTAATTGCCTGTTTATCGAAATCTGGTCTCAGATACCGTTCGTGAGAACAACGATGGCTTATTTGATGGATCCGGCAGTGGCCGATACCGGTCACTAAACTTCAGGGGACTAAAGATTTATTAATAGGTCGCCGAGAACCGAGGTATACGCGCGATATTGTTTCGTTACATTGAGTCCAGTCGTCTGCTTACATAATACAATGGAGAACGGCCTATTTTAGCCGCGTTATGTTAAAATTAAATTCCACTATAACTGTGTAGACGCCGATCTATCCAAGCGACATGGCATCGAAATACGAGTCCGAAAATGTTTGTGGAAATTGCCAAGCATTTAACCGATTACTTCATGCCATTACTTTTTTGACCAAATATGATGAATTGACAGTGGTTATTACCCCGTCATGTGCGCCGAGTGTGGCTTGTGATGCCAGAGGAAAAACAACGTCCGAGCTATATTATGTCGCATATTATCCTATGTATATTCCCGCTTCACAAACGCATTCGTTACACCACGTCAATGGCATTATTGTTTAAAACCTCGTTAAGTGCTCTCTCAGCCCTAATAAAGTGCATCTCGCTTACTATTATCGTTTCAACAGAGCCATGCACATCACAATCAATATAAATGAAGTTTGAATAATCCTATGCCTTACAATTATTGTTTAGTGTAAATCGGTAAGTTAAAATGGGCTCGCCATATACAATGAAAATACTACATATGGGGTTGTGTTCGTTCCAGAATTCCGATCTAAATCGACTCGACAAGTATCATTTTAATACAAGTACACATTTTGCTGTAAGAATGCAACTTATATTTTTGGCAGAGTGGAATTCGAACAATGGCTGATACGATAACGACTATCAACTGTCGTCAGGACGGTTGCTATCTAAAGGGTTGAACTGATGTTGTGTACATCAATTTATTGACCTTGTGAACTGATTCGCAGGGAAAGTTGCGCCCCTTATTTGTAAACTCGAGTCGATGCCAAATTAATCGAAGCTTGAAATAGGACAGAGGGACAATTGAGCGGACATCTTTACTCGATTTCTTTGATTCTATGAACTACTTGAAAAGGGACCTCTGATCTGAAAGAGAACAGCTTTTCCAACATTAAAAAATGATACTACTTAATCTGCTTGCCTACTAGCTACTCGCTCCGCCTCGTGATTTTGTATTTGGTCCACCTAAGGCTACTGCGTCAGACAGCAAATTAAATATGCAAAAATATCGTGAGTGTTTTAGTACGGTTGGTTAAAATTTCATCGAAGGTTCTTCATAAGCAGGAGTAAAATGTCTTGCCACGTTGAATAGCCAAGAAATTCTTACCCGAGGAGATCCGACTCGTATCCTTTTTAAAAATTTAGCATCGTTGATGTTAATCACCAAACTTGATGGACCTACCATTATATCTATATCTAGGTCAAAATCTTATATCACGTGTCGTACATGTCTAATGATCAGATGATGTCTATGTGGTTCGCACCAAATACATCGATTCTGATTTCGCGTTGGATTTCTCAAAATCAATCAAGATTTTTTAACCTCGAACTGCAGTTAAATCTCATGGCGTCTTATGATGGTATCGATCATATAACGCAAGATAGCGGATATAATCGGGTCACGTGGATTCTTATAACGATTGCATAATCTTCGTTATCACATCTATTCTACCGAACTTAAAATTTTTAGGCAGAAAATGCGAAAACACTCCCGATTTTTGGTATTTCACTTGTTGGAGCCCTATGGATCCGGTTTAGTCCAATCTATGCATAAATAGGAGAGAGCGCGATCGTTTCATTAGTTCAATCCAGATGTACGATTCCTTCCAAATGCGAGGCTCACTTCAAGTACATTCCTATCGATCATGTCTTTATTTTGCCATCATTGATATCTTCTTCATCCTTTCGTGCGACACGTCAGCCAATCAGACAACATTAGGCGACAAAAGTTGTCACGATTGATTATTCCCAAAATTATATTTTAACTGTGTTACCACATCTTCTATATTGGGAAAGACGCTACGTGTTCTTAGCGTTTCGTTCTTAAATACACCTTCGAATATAAATAAAAAACTGACATTCACATCACTATAAATTTAGCTCTACGAATAGTGCCAACTTATATTGCGTAAAGTGCCAGTGATTTTTGGATCGTTATGTGTCTATGGACATAATTGATTATGAGCGTTCCAGGTTCGTGAGAAAAGGTAACGACAAATTTATTCCTCAAAGAGATCTTTTTGACAAACAATAGGCCTTACTAGCTATGCGATATGCTTACATCAAGTTTCGTGTCCACTGTCTAATTGATTATCTAATCTTCCTGTTATACTATTATTGTAACGGGGCACACCCTTGCGTGAACTTAACGCAAGGGTTTTGGTGCGCCCGACAGACGTACACGAGGCAAACGAGGAAGCGTAGATAAGGGAAAAATAAAACTGTTATATTAATATAATTCAGTCTGTTGTTTTTGTCTCTCTGTTTGACCTGACTTAATTATACTAATTTAATTGAATGTATGACGACGTCTACTCACCACTCATTGCGCGCGTCTTGCGGCGATTGGTGGGTTGATATCGTCAAGATATCAACCAATGAACAGACCCTTTGGTCGACTCTTCAATATCACCACCATTGGTGATATTGTTAAAAGAATATTCAACATAATATTCTTTATTGTCATTATCTTCTAAATGACAATTTCCATGTAACGGGCTGCCCCGTTAAAATTATCCTTGTTTTCGAAAATTTCCGAAAGTGCGCATTTTTACACCGAATGACGTGCTGGCTCGCTAACAAATTGACAAAGAGGCCATCTGTCGTTGCAGAATGCTCTTCTTTGTTCAAACTACGCCGTGTGAAAGAAATTTTTACGCAGATGCGTTGTCAGACGTGAACTTATTGAGTCCTCATTCTCCATTGATTCGTAGTGTCCTGGATCAGAAGACGAAGACACTAGGGAAAAATTTAAAAGAACACGGGTCGTCCCGATCGATCTCTTCGCGATTTAATTTTAGTAGTGTACATCTCGTTTCCTGGTTTGCAAAGACAAGTGTATATCTTTGATCTTCCGACGAGACTTTCTTGATAATTATCTTTTAAACATTGTGTGACCCAAGTGCGATATACCATCTATGAATCGAATGTAACGGGGCACGCTCTTATCAGATGACTGACAAGGCCTTGTGTTATAAGACCACAAGCCTGTGTACCCCGACGTCACGGTCACGTGGCGTGACGAAGCGCGAAAAGTAAACATAACTAGAAAGCTCTGTCTGAGGGGAAAGTAGACCAGTATTAAATATAGTAATGTTTCTTGAATAAACCATCTTTTGTCTTGAATTAACTTAATCAAACTACAATCTCCTTTGTGGGGTTCTTGCTCGCCACCATTACGCGCATCTAGCAGTGATTGATGGTTACTTCGGTTGATGTACCGTGTACATCTACCAAGACGTGGAGCAACCACGAATATTACCCTCGGGAGTAATATTCTGCCAACATTACCTCTTTTCTGGTAATGTTAATTGAATATATATTCTAAATAGATAATAATAAAAAAATGATACATTCGTATCAGTTTTATGTAACGGACTCACCTCGTTACACAACATCAGTAAGAGCGAGAAGATAAAGAAACAACAGCCAAGCTCGACTTTGCTGTAGACCTGATCCTTGGTGAAACTTTCAGCTGCACTTTACACTGCCTCCACGCCGAATTCGAAAAAAGTGAAGATACTAATGCAATGTCAGCTTAAAATTGCTGAAGATATGTGTGGCCAGTCAGGGCCGGGGCCTCGGTGCTAACGGACAACTTCTGCGCGATGCATTGTCTCTGTCACGCGCATATAGCGTCACGCTATTTGCCTTGGTACGTAGCCGGAAGATTCACTGCTGTCTTTATAGGAGAGCGCCTGTAAATAGAGGTTTTTTCACGTAGGTGCCGAAAAGTGCCGACCGCGAAAAGTGATATTATCACCTGAACTCATTCTCCTATGAAAAGACTATTGGTAACTCCGTCATCAACCGGGTTTTTCTTACTATTCTTGCGATTGCCGCGCTTCGCTCGGTTTCTACCTCAAGCTAATGTGCTGGATCAATTATGTGAGTAAAGAACGACGTCGGCGAATATCTGGACGGAGAAGCACGTGGCGCACGGAAGGGACGTAACGTATAACACGAATAGTAAAGGAGAAATACAGGGAGCTCGGACTTGGTTGTAGCAGGTCCAAGCAAGGCAAGACTTCAAACGAAAATGTTTGTCCTAGGCATAAGGTGTATCCGAACCTACACACCTCCTGTATCATCGTCCGACGAGGTTTCAACAATCAAAAGGGACGAGGCCACGGACGACGATGAAGACGAGGCAAAAGATGACGACGACGAGGTAGATGATGACGTGGAGGACGACGACGAGGAGCTTTCGTCGCCACGATCTGCGTCCGTTCCAAGGCACTTTTCCCTACTCCCAGCTTGCAACCCGACATCCTTGACGTGTCTGCGAGCACTCGCTGGTTCCAACTTGACCCGTTTTTGCTTCGACTTCGCAGACTTTGAGACCGACGCCCGACAATTTGCGGTCGCCGCTGATGCACCAGCTGCACCAAGATCCACACGGCCACTGTTTGTCAACATTTTCTCTGTAGTGGCCATACTAGCAGCAAACTTACCGGTCACTTCTCCGTTCCTGTGCATCGAATGCGTTGACAAAGGCTCTCTTTTTTCACTCTTGCTGCTATCTTTTGGAGCATCTGGAATATCCGGTGAAGCAAGCGGTACTGATATCCTTGATACAGTGGACTTTTTACGACTGCGCTTTCGCAACAGTTTGCTACCAGAAACCACTTCTGTCCTCGCTGAAGCTTCTATGGCGCCTTTAGACGCTTTGATCTTCTTCGTTTCCAGTGCTTCTTCAACCAGTCTGAAAGCAAAATCTGGGAACCGTCACTTGCTGAATTTTGCAAGACAAATATGGACCCTTACGCAGTTCAACTCACGTGCTTCGGCGTCTTTTCTTCTCGCTCACTTTCTTCTTCAATGCAGTAGCTGTCCGCATTTGTGCCCACCTCTCTCGTTCCGATGTAGCAGTCAGAGTGTCCAATACATCCAGCTGACTCGGATTGATCTGCAATTCTCAAAAAGTATCAGTCTCCTCGTGAATCTCTCCTTATATAAATCACTCAGCCGCTCACAACGTACCAACAGATTATTGCAATAAACAAATTCCTCAGGGTCCTTCCCCAGTGCGCTTTGCTCCGTAAATTGCGCCGCCAGCTTAACGAGATACGCCGGGTACAGATATTCGGCACTATCCAAATGCGTTTCAATCAGGCAATTCATAAACCCATTCCGTCGATCCTCCTCCTCTTCAGCAAACAAGATAGCCTCCACGTCGTCTTCAAACACGTCGGACGCATCTGAACATGCGTGCGCGTCCCCGTCTTCTCCTTCCTCTTGCGATTCTTGGTTGTCTTGTACACATTCGGCCACAAAGAAATTATCGCGTCGCTGCTTCACTGGAAACGATTGGCGTCGAGTCGTTCCCAACGGCTTTTTCGGACTCTCTAGTAACGAGTCCGACGTCTCTTTCGGCTCAAGCCTCTCCTCGTATGTCCCACTGTTGTCCGCACGGCATTTCATAGGATTGGTCTCTGGTTTCGGTTTAGCAAAGGGAGGAGACGAGGGGGGACCAGGTGGAGGCGGTGGAGTCATGTCTGGTGCAGGACAGTCTGGCGGAGGAGGGGGTAGCGAGGGCACGAGGGGATGCTGCGCTAGGCCGAGCTGCTCGTCACCGCCAGAGTTGAGCGAGTTGGGGCTCAAGCTGGAGGCACTGCTATGCGAGGGAGGAGACGGGGGCAGTGTCTCCATGGACGAGACGAAGCCCAACCTGCGACGTTGGTTTCGCTACTTCGGTGAAATGACCCAAATCACAGAGGATGTTATGGGCAATAGCGTGGACCACATGTCATCAACGGCCATAGGGATCTTCGTTTATCTACGTTTATCTCTTCACTTAGCTGCTCTCGTTGTCGCCCGCCTCTCGCAGGCCCAGCACGTGGTGGTTCTGACGAGCCCACATGTCAGCGTACTTTCCGTTGACATCGCGCAGCAATTCATCGTGAGGGCCTTGCTGGATCACGCACCCATTGTCAAACACAATGATCTCGTCCACGTCTTGAATCGTCGACAGACGATGCGCAACGATCAGCGACGTGCGGTTTGTCCCAATCGATGCAAACTCACGGACAATCTCCGACTCTGTCTCCGAGTCGAGGGCGCTTGTAGCCTCATCAAACAACAATATAGGCGCGTCCTTCAGCATCGCACGCGCGATCGATACCCGCTGCTTTTCGCCACCGGAGAGCTTTAGCCCACGCTCACCGACACGCGTGTTGTATCCGTCCGGAAATGTCTCGATCGAGCGGTGGATCTGGGAAATACGGGCAGCTTGCATCACTTCCTTAGGACTCGCACCAAGGCGACCGTAGTTAATGTTATAGAAGATCGTGTCGTTGAACAAAACCGTATCTTGTGGGACGACGGCAATCGCTTGTCGAAGCTCCTCCAGTCTCAACTGTCGAATGTCCTTTCCATCGATAAGAATTGTGCCGTTTTGGGGATCATAAAAGCGATACAGCAACCGGAGCACTGTAGACTTCCCCGAACCACTTGTGCCGACGATAGCAACGCGTTTGCCAGCATCGACTTTAAACGATGTATTCTGCAAAATGGGGAGTTCCGAGCGGTATCCAAAACTCACGTCGCGAAATTCAATCGATTTGGGCTCTTTGCCAGTCAAGCTGAGGTTCTCGTCCGAATCCGTAATGACTGGCATTTCAGCGCCCAGCCGGAACATGGACTCCATGTCTGTGACTGATTGCCGCACTTCGCGGTAAATGCTACCGATGAAGGTAAGAGGAATGGACAGCTGGAACAACAGCCCATTAACAAGTACCAAATCACCAACAGTGAGCGTGCCAGCAGCAATTCCTTCACATGCCATGTACATAATGGCAGTGAGACCAACGCCGAAGATCCCGTTCTGTCCAGCGTTCAGCATCGCCAGCGACGTCTGCGTTTTGAGTGCCGCTTTCTGATAACCTTTAAGTGAGTCGTCGTAGCGCTCGATCTCATGTGCTTCATTGTTGAAATACTTGACCGTCTCGTAATTCATCAGCGAATCAATCACTTTCGCACCAGCTTCATTCTCCAGTAGATTCATCTCACGACGGATCTCATCACGCCACCGCGTGACAAGCACCGTAAATGTCGTGTACGCAGTAAGCGTACCCAGCGTGACACCCGCGTATGGCATCCCGAAGCTTGTCGCCATAATGGCGCTTACCAATCCGATTTCCAGCACCGTTGGCACCACACGAAACGCCATAGCGCGTAGCACAAAATCAATTGATCGAGACCCACGATCGATGATGCGGGATAGCGCGCCTGTTTGCCGATCCAAGTGGAACTTGAGATCCATGCTGTGCAGGTGCCTAAGAACTCGCACGGCAACTGTTCGGATGGTGTTTTGAGCCACTGTCGCAAATACGGCATTGGCCAGCTCTGACGATGCACTGGCACTGAATTTTGCAATGCCGTAGCCGAGGACCATGGCCAGCGGCACCGCCACCTCGGGGGATCCAGCTCCAATACTAGACAGATCGCCCATACCATCTACCAGCTGTTTGAAGATGAAGGGCACTTGGATCGTTAGTGCCTTGGACGCTACCACGAGACCGGCCGAGATGAGCACCTTTCGCTTGATCTCCTTAGCTTCTTTGGAGTCGTCTTTGGGCCACACATGATCCATTAGAAACCTGAGGATCTCCTTGGCCGTATCGGGGGGCCGACTCAGTCCAGCATCGCTTGATACAACGGCTGGTGTAGATCCTGCTGTCGTCTTTACACGGTCATGCTGCTCGCTCAGCGCGGAGGAACAAAAGGTCAGCACGTTGTACTGCAGTGCTGGGTGCACAAATGACGCAGTGCGATAGCGTTCGAATTTTAAGGGCTTGTGCGTCAAGGGGGTGCGCGTATAGTGCAGACTCGCGAGACGTCGCACGCTACGGAGATAATTAGGTCGGCGTCCATGGAGCAGCATCGAAGGGGAGAGGGTTCGTTTGGTGACTGACAACAATCTTCGTCTTACCTTTTGTGAGAGCCATTTATGTGGACCAAAATTTTAATGTGAAAAGCTCGCCATAATTACTGGTCGATCATTCTTGCGCTCATAAGCATCTTCTTTTTCGTCATTTTTTTTACCCGGTTTCTGTATTTAAAATTTGATGCTGCCAAATTATAATCGAAGAAAATGATCGCCATGTAACACAAGATTTACGATCGATGGGTTTTATTTAGATGAATATTGGACAAACCGATCGATGGCTCTGCCCCTCAATTCTTGTCGTACCCATTCGAATGTCGAAGCGCTTAACAATAATTTAAGCAATTCTGACGAGTCATTGGCGCCAAATCTTTTGCCGTAATTTTTGCAGATTATACGCATGTAATACCTTGTTGACATCATTGTCTAACGGGCTGCATCATTCTCATTAACTAACAGTTATAAAAGGTCAATCCTTTTTTGATCAGAACATTCTTAGTGTGAAATATTCAGCAGTATCTGCCATTTTTTTGAAATATGCAGCGAAGGTTAAAATCAATATCAATGTCAATGTTGTCTCATGCGTTTTGGATTTTGAATATAACAAAATATAAGTTAAAACAACGACTTGTGCTCATTTTTGGATGTAGCCTGCGATTAATTTTTTAGAATGTCCAATCAACGATTGACACGAACCATTTATTGCATTCAGATATTGACAGTCTTGCAAAAGGCCATTGTTATTATAGGTTTTTAGCAAGAATTAAATAAAAGCGGTGGACTAAAATTCAAAAAAAAGTATGACCATATTTGAAAACGACGCTGCACCATGAAAGACAACTTCCTCTTTACCTTAGACTGACCTATTTATGTGAATCCGCTTGTTTCCTTTTAAACACGTGTAAGTGTTGTTTTGCGGCGCCTACTTATATTGTCACTGGTGTAGGTAACATGTAACCGTTGTTAGAATACGTGAGGACTCCCGTTGACATGGGTCACTGTATCAGACAATAAAGCATAAACGCCCGATCGGATAGGTTGGTGAGCTGATAGGTACAGTAGGTAGTTTGCTAATAGTTATCATTCTGTTTGCTTCCAGATTTAATTATAGAAGGTCCGACGATGTGTCTAGTTAATGCGAATCCACTTCTCGCTTCACACTCCTATCTTCCATTCAATTGAAGTGTTCTCTAGTCCTCAATTTTCTTGGCGCTTTTGCGTACGAATGGCTTCAAATAAGCCATCTTCATTGTTGTCAGTGGAGGTTAGACTATAGTGTGAGAGGTATGACGCGGGCCCTTTACAATTCGCAGCGCCTATTACTTTAAAGACCTTCTACAACGTGATGATGAGCAGCAAATGTAGACAAATTGAGTACAAAGAAATAATCCACATCAAGGTTTTGTATACTGCGCTACAGGCACGAAATGGACCGACAGAAATTCACTATTTACTTGTATCATCGTAATACTCCACTCTTACAACTACTGTATCTCTATTCGCATCTGATACAAAAAATCAAATTTACTAGCGTGACTGTTGTAAAGAAGCGTTAAATGCGATTCTCAATACGAGAACAGATCGCGTTCCCGTTATATCCAAATTAGCAAGCGGTTGGCAGTGCCGATCCCTTACCTGGTCGGATCACGTTCACTAAAGTGTTAGACAGAACTAGATATCATACCAGAAATGATAGGACCCGCGGCATTGGATGAAAGTATGACGGACGAAGGGTACAAGTGAGGGAGTCTAGATCCTGTCAAGAAGACGATTACGATGGCGATCAAGAAGGTGATCGAGATCTTGATCATTAATCGGATATGTGATCACGATCAAGCTAGTGTGGGTTACACTATACGATCTGCGACCAGAAATGCGATTGGGATCGGACAAGTACATCAGGTGTATGCCACGCAAGTACAAGGGTGCGACCTTCTGAAAAGAGCGACACGTGACATGCGATGTCTAAGATATGGTGGATAGGGATATGGCTGTTGGGTTTGATCAATTTAATATTAAACATATTTCGATTTGCTTCCAAGGACATGCGTCGTCTCTTCCGGGCTGGATTGTTTGGCCACCCGACGTCACAGACTACGCTACATCTGCACAAGCGCCGCAGTTGGATTACTTAGTCAGGAGCGTTCAAGGGCTTCTCACCCCCGATGCTAAAAGGCATTACTTCTCACAGGTTATCAAGCGTTGAAACGAACCTTCAAGACCTGTTACAGGTAAGGTACAAATCCACCTGATTGGTTGTTATTACGACAACTTGACAGATGGGACGGAGAGAGACGGACGCCACGTAGGACGACCAAGATGTTGGGGAATGGGACCAGGAGAGACGGTCGACATGTGGGACCAGCATGCGGGATGTGCGTACTGGACGCACGCCATCTGTAACTTGACCAGGTCAAGTTGCAGTGCCGTTGAAAGTACATATTGTAGCATTGTCAAGAGAGAAGGATTAATGCAAATACATTTTACTTTTAATTCTACCTACCTTTCACGAGTGCAACGACGAACACATTCTTCGAACAGGTTATGAGCCCAACAGAGCGTACTGGCGGCTTAGCCCAAGAGGACAAACCCGCTGTGGTGGTCGACGGTCAGGTTACCGACCCAAGAAACCAATTGGGGGAAAAGTTGGCAGTGCCTGCGGCGGGACTTGGACAAGATGTTTGCGATTCTTGGTGACTTAACGGACCGGATGCGTAGGATGAAATCCTCCCAGCATGTTCAAGGTGATCACCGTTACATCGACTCTGAGCGAGTCAAGCGTCTTTCGTTTGGTCCTCGGTTCAGGAGGAGGCATGAATCTTCAAGCTCTGGAGCATACCCCTCCACCTAGACGTGGATCGAATGTCTCGCCGGCTACGTACTTCGATACCCGACGACTAGCAATTGGTGATGATCACTATGGTCGATACGCCAGCACGAGCTGGGATCAACTATGGGATGGCTCAAAACGACGACCCAGCACATCAAGCTCAAGGTGCTCTCGCGAGATTAAACCCAAATGTGCAGGCGCCGGGTCCGATTTTTGACAAACATGGACAAGTGCCCCAAGGCGTGCCAGAAGGACGCCAAATAAAGTTAGCACTGCAAACTTTCGACGGCAAGGAACTATATCATGGACTTGGTGGCGGTTTCCTTGGGGAAAAGAATTTGTTAGACAGGTTGGACTCTCTGAACGCGCGTGCGGAATTGCATAGTCCGAAGACACTAAGGTTGACGTCCTCGGTCAACACCTCGCGGGCACAGCGCAGGAGTACGACCGTCGACAAGTCGAGACTTGGTGAACTGAGAATGCTACTCTGAAGCACGCCATGAAACGGCTCCTCCAAACATTCACGACCAAGATCATGCCGCCTCAAAGCATGAAACTTTTCACTGCGGTCAAGTTGCCTCAACGCAGTTGGACGGAACATTTTTTGTACCTGACGGCTGTCAGTGATGCGTGTGCTGGGTCGGATAATTTGGTCTTAGATCATCGTGCATTGTGCTGACCCGTCGATGCGGACGACAATGTTATCTCGATTGAACTTGACCAGATTTGACTACCTACGCCAAGCAGAAGAGCTAGTACAATTTACTCAACCGACGGAGATCGAGTTTCGAGTAAAGCGCTTCGGTCGAGACGTTGTCAACGTCGTCGAGCCAATGACTAAACTAAATAAGGTTGACGCAGTCAAGAAACGCTACGATGTGCAAGGACAAAAATGCTACATTTGTGATAAGGTTGGTCACCTTAAGGCAGCTTGCCCAAGGCTGCACAAGAAAAACAAGACGCGGATTTCGTCTTGTCCGTGCATGGTGGTGGTGACAATCGTCTCAATCTCTGGGTTCTGGATAGCGGCTTAGGTCGTCACTTGATTTATGAATTAAGATTGCTAAAGGATGCAGTTGAACGTAACACGAAATGCTTCACAGCAGCTTCCGACAGTGGGGTACTTGGGATCACCAATAAGGAAGCGTGGTGATCCGGGTCAAAGCACTTGGATTGATCAAAACCATCCGGCTTCTTGATGTTCAGTACGCACCCAACCTGAAGCGAAACGATCATTTCCTTTGGAAAACTGGAGAGGAAGGGATGCGTTATTGAATATCATGAAGTGAAGGCGTGTGATGGTTTCTCATCCTGGCAACGCACCAGTTATGGCTGTTGACCGCGTCAACGATGCGTTTGGTTTTTTAGGTTTTAAACCTCAACTCGAAGACTGAATATCATGGACATGGATCACCAAGAGATGCTATCATGTCGATCGTGGAGAGTGTTGGATCTGAAAGCGATGCAAATCTACGAGCTGGATTCTTGTATCACTTCCATCAGTGTCTTGGACACCTCTGTTACGACACAATCATGACGATGGCTCAGGGACTCTGTCTCTGGCATCAAATTAACTGATAATAAGCGTGTCAAATGCCTCGCCTGCGCACACGGCAAGCAGACCGAGAATTGCCAATCGAAGAAAGACACTGGGTTGAACCCACCCATTGACTTAATCGGAGGCGAAGTTTGTTCCGACCTTAAAGGTCCTATGACCCCTCGTGACCGTCTCAGCAATAGGTACCTCGTCAATTTTATTGATCATAGGATCGAAATATTGCCGAGCATTCCTTGCGAAGACCAAAGATGATGCAGCATTGCACTTTAGCATTTTTTGGTGCCTTTTGAACGACGCTTCAATTGTCAAGTTCACATCCTACGCACGGACGGCGGGGGCGAGTACAAACCTCTGGACGTGTTTTGCAAGGAGATTAGTGAGCGTGAAAATTTATCCAGCAATGGAAAAGCTGAAAGGATGCATCGCACCATCATGAATTTAATGAAAAGCATGGTTTTAGCAAGTGGTCTACCCTTGACATTTTGGGGGAGATGCTGCTGAGTACGCAACGTATATCATAAATCGCAACCCCACGACAGCGAATGAAACTGGAATCTTTACCGGTTTAAGTTTGGACAAGAAGGCGCCCAAAAAGCGTGACATTGTAAT